GTTTATATCGTTTAAGGTCTATACATCATATATCGTTTCATGTTGATCATGCCTATTCAACTTTTTTGTCTGGCTGTGCTGATTGTAGTTTGTTTTCTCCTGATCTGCAGGCCATATCCTTTGCTCTGAGCCACTTTAAATGGTGGCAAACCGCATGCTGTATTTGATCTATTTAAAGGTTATATTTGGTAGAAGCACATTTGCTCCATGAAACTTGGTGATAAATTAAATTTCCAGCATTTTACACGTTTAACCATAGTTAATTCAACTAGTTAGGATGAAAGACTTGAGCTCGCTTGCTCCCGTGAATTTAATTCATTGTTACTTATCATTCAAACCCACACAAACTTGATGATTGTGATTTGCTATTTTATCATGGTTCACATTCATGGATGAGATTGCATGCCTGATTGTCTCCTGGAAAAAGTTACAAATATAAAAAGCTTTCAACAATAATAACAAACTATATGCGTCTTTTTATGTTGCGGTCTTAACACAACATACATGTGCTCGTTTGTCCGAGACGTGAAGTGAAACGCTTTGCAGATCTCACTGCTGACGAGGTTAGTGATCTATGGTTATCTGCACAGAAGATCGGGTCCAGACTTGAGACCTATCACAAGGCATCTTCACTTACATATGCAATCCAAGTAAGCTAGAATATGGCTACAGTTTTCTTCATCTAATTCCACTTGCTTGAATTTTTCTTAGTCTCCTTTTAATATAAGTGCAAGTTTCCCGTCGAATATTGATTGCTACTTCTTCAATGTTTCTACTTTCTACTCTTGACTTATACGATTTCCTTTAAGGATCACGTAAAAAAGACAAATTGAAGTACAATATTTTATTTTGAAATAAGTTTAATCTATTGATCTTAAGTATTGAGCCATGCAGTTTTGTTATCCGATTTCTGAATCATTTTGGTTATTTTTTCTTTATGCTAAATGCTTAACTTGTTGACGTCATCTGCACCCTAGGATGGGCCCCAGGCTGGTCAGACTGTTCCACACGTTCATATTCACATCCTACCACGCAAAAGCGGTGATTTTGAGAAAAACGATGAGATCTATGATGCTGTAAGAGATTATGAGCTCACAAGGTTACTCTTTCTTTTCCCTTTTTTGGGGGTCTTGTTCTGATTACACATTGTACAGATTGATCTGAAGGAAAAGGAATTGAAGCAAAACCTTGATCTGGACAAAGAGAGGAAGGACAGAAGCATGGAGGAGATGGCCGAGGAGGCCGATTCTTATAGGAAACTTTTATTATAGAAACTCAGAATTCAGCTTGCTTGGTACTTCAAATTATTTCGCATCCTGGATTATATATGCACGATTTCTAATGATACTATTTTTGTTATCTGTGGACTTTCAACAACTGCTGCTGTTGTTTGTTTTGCATTTATTGGCCTGCTTTATGATTGGATAACACATCCATTGGGAATCTTGATTTCCTTGGTTTGTGGTCCGAAGAACAGATAAATTAAATCAAACCCCGAATGTGTTAATAAGGATCCTCGCATCTAATGGGTTGATTGTATCTAGACATGGCCAAGGGTCACCCGGCCCGGCGACCCGGGCCTGACCCGGCACGGACCCGGCCCGGACAAACCCGTTGACCAAGGGTCCGGGACCGGCCCGGATTTCAGACGGACCGTGTAAGGGTCATCCATTTGATGACCCAGCCCGGAGGGTCAGGGCCGGGCCGGGTCGACGACCCTTCTTTTCATTTTTTTTTTATTTTTTTCTACTAATTTTTAGAAAAAGCACGGAACCGGCCCGGACCCGGCACGGCTCGGACACGACCCGGCCCGGACACAGACCCGACACGAGTATGGGTCCGTGCCGGTTCAGTGTCATTGTTTTTGAGCCTGGCGACCCGGGCCGGGCCGGGTCGTGACCCGGCCCGGATTTTGGCCATGTCTAATTGTATCTCTGTAGTTTTAGTTTAAGAAGGAATGATGATTGTGAATTGGTCATTGGAGTATTATTTTATGGCAACCGTGGGGTGCAATAGGATATCAAAATTTTCAAATATTCATCTCACTAGAGATTTTTAAACTATGTTTCCAACTTGTGTCATTTTTTAAACCTCACGTATATCAAAATGTATTTTTTAAGCAAAATTCAATTATTACTTAATAGTTTCCTTTATAATTTGCAGTTCCTTCACTTGCATATTTCTTACTACTATTAATTATTTTATTATTTTTAGATTATATCAATTCTGATTATTATATTCTACCCCCCATTCAAATTATATTTTTCAAATTCTTTTTATCGTTTTTTTCAGACATTTTTCTCTATTGAAAGAAAAGGATTTCAACAAGCGCATATCCAGTCACATTGAACACTAACTAGTATAGTATCTGCAATGGCTTTTATATTTCTTTATTTTGTTGTTACATGATACAAATAATAAAAAGAGAAACGTATGAGACCCATATAAAATAAATTTGTTAAGTTTATTGTTATGGGAGGTTTGTGATAAGAGGAGTAAGATTAAAATTTTGAGCAATGTGACACATTAGAAAATAAAAAAGAGGGTTTAGGAGGTTCTATTGGTTAAATATTCTCTAAAAAGGTAAATCAAATTTCAAAATGCATAAAAAAATATATTTTTATAAATAAAATAATTGATATTTTCCAAATACTATAATTAAATTTAAACACTTGTGAAAATTAAAATAATATATATTTATATATTAATTATTAAGTTATTATACGTAGTAGATATATATATCAATGCAACTAGTACGAATCTCGTGCGATGCACGGGTAAGAGATATTTATGAATATTTAAAAATTATAAATGCTCATTATATAATATTTGTAAATTAAAAGTATAGAATCTTATGTAATAAAATTTACCTATATCATTTTACTGAAAATGTTATATGAAATTTAAATTGTGCAAAATAACATAAAACATGTTTATTTAAAATTAGTATACAGCCCGTACGGTGCACGTAGTTTATAACAAATTACATTATAATCATTTCAGAATAAGTGTCGTTTTAAATTTTTTATTCAGAAATTCGATTTTACTACAATGTGATTCCATAAAATAATTACTTTTGTGATACTTTATCATATATATAAAAATCTATGTGAATAATAAGGATAATTATGAACCTTATATTGTTTCATTGACTAAAATGAATTTATTTTTGTATAAATTATTTAAATAAAAAAATTTAAATAGTTGAGTAATTTATTATTTTAATAGTTGAGAAATTTATTACACTATAAATAATTGACTATTTCATTTACGTTCAAGTTAATATTGACATGTAAATTATGAATAATTAATTATTTGACTTTTAAATTTGGAACTCAAATTTGGACTAGACGATAAATTCCCTTATATATGTTTTATCTCGTAATTTTCTAGATTTGTTATCGATTACCTTATTGTTCAAATTTATCAACTAACTTTTTAGAATTAAATTATAAATAATAAAATTTATTAACTAATATTTGTTCAAAAATCTTTTTTATTTTCAAAAGAAATACAAACCAATTTTCCGAATTATCATCAATATCTTTTGATATGTTATTATGAGAATATGCTAAAATTTGAGAATCATATCATCTTGATTTTATAACAAATCAACCTAAAATTCGACTTTCATACTCATATCAAATAAAGTTCATACCACTTATTTTGTTTTCAATACTTTCAAATACACTTCGATTCATATCAATAAAATTCATACCAAAATACAATCATCCACTTTGTACCATAAATTCGGACAACATATTTTCGTACCAAAAATAAAAATGACATCAGATATCTCAATAAAAATGGGTCACTTTATACCAAAATCGAATTTATTAATTTTGTCAATTTTATATAATAAATTGATTAGTTAATTTATAGATGCGGGAATTTTTAACAATTTTCAAAAAATATTACCAAATTTAGTAATTTTAAAAAATTTAGACTAAATTTTAGTATTTATTTCAGATAAATACAAACTTTTTTTTTAATGGATATAGATATAGATTCATTGATAATAATGGAATTTAATTTGCGTAATTAATTGTAATAATAATAATAATTTGCAAGTTCCCTATCTCTCAATCGCTATTCACCGCCCCCCTTTTACTAGTCACCGCCCCCCCCATTTACTCTTTTGCCCTTAACCCTTTTTTTGATTTCATCTCTCTAAACTTTCTATCTCTCTAAACTTCCGAACTTCAACGAACGATTCGAGCATAAAAAAAATCCAAAAAAATGTCGAAAAATTTCTACGGCCTCGGCAAAGGATTCTTCTCCAACAAGGTAAATTTTTTTTTTTTTTTT